AGTGTCTGAGAGCCCTCTGCGGGGAGGCCCTTTGAGCAGGTATGCAGGGGCTAGCAAGGCTAAGGGACCTGAGGCTAAAGAGAGGACCATTGCAGGTCAGAAGAGGTCATCTGCTGTACAGAGTCCAGGTTCCATGTGTAATATATTTTTGGTCCTGTTCTGGATTATAATGAAAGCTTGGTGCCAGCAGAGAATCAGGACTGAGCTCTGTGTGTGGTGGCTTTTATTGCTTTGGAAGACCCCTAAAGTTCTGAAAACAGGCTTAGTAGGAGGCAGAAGCAAAGTGCCCTAAGGCTGTGCTAATGCACCCTAAATTATCTGTTATGTATTTTCTTGTGTGTGGGGATAGAGAGGTTACTAGTGCACTGGACTGATTTGACTTGCAAATACATATAAAAATGTAATAAGATTCGTGAGTAATGTGTACATATGCAGTTAAGACTTACATAATTTGTTGATAACCTAAACGATGGAATACTGCTAAAAAATGGTTAACTGGTGGTGAGCATATTAAAGCTTGCTAAAATGACATTCCACAGTATTAAATAAAACATAACATTGAATGCAATTTTTTATTTCGAAGCTAGCTGAAATTGGAGTGGCTGAGGAGCAGGTGCAGTGGTGGTGGGTGACTGGGTGCTGCCTGGTGGGGACCCCCAGTGCCTGCAAGGAGCAGCCCTGCTCCCATTTTGCCTTTAAGGCCCTTGCTAACATGCCAGGTACCTTCTAATGATCGTTTTTGCTTCTGTAGACTGTTAGAATGTGTTGGTCTCTGCCCTGTTCCAGTCCATGCTTTAAGATCGTTTTCAGCTTTTTATTTTCCGTTCTAGTCAAGAAAATAAGATAATGGAAGCATTTGAGGCCAGGCTAGGACAGACCTTCCTAATATGTTATATTGTTGAAGGTACATAAACAACAACTCTAATTCTGGTCAGGTAACTGCTCACATCTTTTCTCCTACTTCATGTATAATCCTTTAGAAATGAGAATAGGTCAGATTGTATAGCTGGGGTTCATATAACTGCCTACACAAAGTTCAGATTCTGTGTCTCTTCAGTTAAAATTGAGGGAGAAACATAAATTAAGGAAGGGTTAGAAACTGAAACTTTTAGAGAGTATCTTTGACAGGCTTTATTTTTATGAGGGAAATTATTTGGTGCAGCATTTTCAGATATAGGCACTTCTTAACCATCTTTTAAACAAGCTGCATGTCAACTTACATAAACCATAGCTGCACTGAACACTATCACAGGAAGCCAATGGCACAGTTTATCATTCTGTAATTATTATTTCAAAGGCTAAGATAGTAACAAGCATTTGGACAAACACAGCTTTTCAGTTTGAAGCAAACATTCAAACAAACATACTTTTGTAGCATTGAAAAAAAATTATCTTCTGCCAATAATGTCCACAGACCTCATTAAGTTAGAAAGTATTAATTTTAATATGCTGTTTAAAAAATATACTTCTGGTTTTACTTCATGCTCTTAACTGGAGTGTTTTCTGCATATATTCAAATGGATGAAAAATCAAGATGTTGAGTCCGTATTATTGGATTTCTTTTTTTTTAATTTATTTTTCTTTCTTATATTGAGGGTGTGAGGGGAGGTGGGAGTCTTCTTTTGCCTGGAAAATTCTGAGTTTTTCCACAATACCTTTTTGTTAAAGATTTTTTCTGGTTAGTCTTTTCTTGTGACAGCCTCAAAACTTCTGAAACGTGGGGAATTATAAAGCTGGCAATGTAAAACTTCATTCTAACTTCTTAATCTTAATGTCTTGATGGCCTGCTTTTTAAATGCCATTACTACTTCACCTTTTTCAACAAATTTAAAGCTCTGCTAACTGTCTGGCATCAGGCTTGTCAGAGTGCCAGCTACTTTGCCAGACTGTAGAGCCAAGATGCATGAAAATGTCAACAATTTCAGGCTCATTAGTTTTTGGCTTTCCTGGCCTTTCTGTAGTGACTGCAGTGGTGCATAAGCTAAATGATTTTTTTTTTATTTACTTCTATTAGTTACAGTGGAAACCACAGCCAACTTTAATGTAAACAGTTGAAAGAGTGTTCTCCTATTGATTTGTTAATTTATTTGCAAGGAAAGCTGCTTGCCAAGGTCTGCTTCCATATAAGAAGTTAGGAAAGTATACAGTGTGGATATTTTATTCTTCTTTGTATCTTTTCTATAGCATTGAAAGGTATTTGTTGTTTTTAATATGTCCAGGTTAGCCTTGTAAAGCTTCCATGAATATTCCAGGCAAAAAAAAATCTCCTTACCTGTTTGTCTTTTATTGGTTATGTAATTGGTAAGGCAAAATGGTTATTTGCCTTGGAAAACGGTCACATGAGAACACTGCACAACTCAGAGCCTGTAATAAAGGCAGCATGAAATATATTATTTTTTGTCTATATACCTTCAATGTGACAATATAGAAAACTCCTTGAGGATGTATACATTTAACATATAGCATTCATACAGATTCTGTACTAATCTACTAATTTTGTTGGGTAACCTGTTACCATCTATTTAAAGTCAAAGTTTAAAGGAAATGTCAAAATTAAATTAAAATACTTCTAATGCAATAGCCTGTTACTGTAGCATTAGAAACTTCTCTGTTAAAAGCCACCTCATCCTTAAGTGGTACTTCTCTAAATACAGCTATATCTTCAATAAATAATAATATCTCTTGTACTATTTTAGTGTTCAACACCACTGTGAAAAACATGGCAATGAATAGAAAGAAAGTTTGGAATGACACATAAACTCCCAAATACTTGAAAAGAAAGGCGGTTTTTTTTTTTCTTTACTAATTTTAGATATTTTTACAGAGATATGTTTTCTGGAGAAAAAAAAAAAGTAGGTTTTCTTATTTGCCTGATTTTTTGAGAAACACATGAGCTGATGTAGTTTTCAGAATGACAAGAATGTTGTCATCAATGACATCTCTGATTTTGTCATGAAATAAATGACTGCTTCCATCCCTTACCGCCGGAGAATCGTGTTTTGTCCAGTTTTAGTCTTAAATCTAGGAAGAATGACATCTTGTAATCTCTGTAAATAAGGCTTTTCAAATGTTTTGCTGCAGTTGTTGAAATCCAGACCAGCTGAGCTTTGACTGAAAATCATTGCTAACTGTTAGCTCTTTGGTGCTGTAAAAAAAATTAGTTGGTGATGAAAATCGTGTTTCCAGCGGCTGGGTCTCAACAATAAAAAACTCCAGGCTTGAAATCGGGACTGGCATAACAGCTTCTTTAAGACTTGCACTAAGGATAGATTTGATGCTTTTTGAGTTACATTTTGCTACTTTTTTTCCAGGAAGAGCTTAAGACGTAGTTCCTGAAATGTTTTGGGTTATTCTGAAAGTAAATGTTAAAATAGGGCCACATGTAGTCTGTGCTTGTTCCAAACACTTATTTTGCTGAAGTGTATTTTCTTGGGTTTTTTAGAGATGTGTGGCTCAACCATTTGTTTTTATTGTTCAGTAACAGTAAACCATGCACTCATGCTTAATGTGCTGGGGAAGACTGCAAGACCTGAGAGCTCCTTGTGCATGGCCTCACAGCTGTATTCTTTTGGGTAGTGGTTTGTGCCAGTAAACTGTACTCAGAACAAATGGGTCAGACCCAAGGTTTGTATTGTAGGGATCTAACAGTGATGAGCAATAGGTGCCTTGGGATCAGCGTAAATACAGGGTAACTCTTAAGTGATATTTGTTTTTCAGGGATTTTCTGAACCAAAAAGCATACCTTCATTCTTTACTAGTTCTTGAAAATTGATACTTTTTTTCCTGCTGTTTTTGTTCCCGTGATAATAAGATGTACAATGTAGCTATTAATGAAACAGATGCAAATGTGTTTCTTTTTGAACTTGGCTGATAATTGCTTGATACCTTTTATCAATTAACAGCCTTATTCTTTATTTGGATTTTCTGAAGTCTGTTGCTCTGGGCAGTGGTACAGGATTGTTTCACATTTGCAGAAGAGCAGTAATTTTCAAATTGATGGAGAAGTCTTGATTACAGATGATGGAAAATATAATTGGGGTGTTGATCAGGAGGTTTGTAAGCCATATTGCTGAGAGTTGAGTGGAAAATGGAATGAAGGGCAAGGGATATATCTTCTCACCATAGCAGACAGAAGCAGAACTGCTGAGAGCTGGTGCCAGGGGAATCTGAATGCTAGGAAACAGTGCTGTGATCTCTTAGCTGCTCAGTAGTAGTTCATGCCTTGTTGAGAGGCAGGGAGATAGATCTGTCTACTTGTTCTCCTTTCTGAACCTCTTTCTGTACCTCTTTAAAAGGCAGTTTACAGAGTAGTTCATGCATGTTGATGAATAACAGAAATAAGATTTTCCTGTTGTGTGTGATCTTATCTTTGGGCAGAATATCTTGTCTCTGTACCCCTTTTCAGAGGAGGTTAGCAGAATAATTAGTCTTGTGCTCTTTAAATGCTTCTAGGGCTGATAAAGTGGTTGAGGGGCTGGGGATGAGAAGGAGTATTTGTGTGATTTGTCCAGGAATGCAGGTTCACTAATCAGTAGATATCATCAGTTTTGGAAGTTAGGTTTTAATTAATATACATATATAATTAATCACCCTTTAAGTTATATATTTGAAATTGAAAATGCTCTAATAATTTTCGTTATGATTTGTATTAGATAATTCTCCATTCAAATGTATCTTTATACTCTGGGAATAAAGATATATTCCATTAAATTCAGTGACTGCACCATTTTCTTTTTTCTCACCAGGAAGCTGGTGCTATACAGGTTACTGAATGGAAAAGGAAGTGCTTTGTTGATTGTTCTTAATACCTATCCACATGTGTTTCTGATACTTGTTTTTAATTTATGTGGCTATTGACTCTTAATGAAGTTTGTAAGAATTTAATTTTAAATTTTTATGCCTTGTGGCCAGTGAGTTCCAAAGTCTTTTGGAAGAGGCTAGAAGAAAGAATGGAAGCTGGAACACAATGCAATCAGAATAATCTTCTATGCCTGATTTTTTCCTGGAAACACGATTGAACTATGTCTTGGAAATTTTGTTCGAGTGAAGAATGTTCAAAATAAGCCTAAAAGAAACTAGTTCTGATGGCTCCTTGAGTTCCTCTGCATTTCATGAGAGTTGTAGCACTTTTCGTGAAATATAGCTTTCCAAAACTTACTTTAAAGATAAATTGAAGAGTTGGTGGGCATGTAATTAGAGAACTGGGGCTAAAAATAAACTGCAGAGCTTCTATCACATTTTCTTCCTGGAAAGTTTTTATTTCTGGATTTATTAGTGGGAGTCAGTCTTCTGTAGGCTAGTTGATTTCAGTGGTTCTGAGGATAGTAGTAGACATCTTAAAAGTACAGTAATGCAAGCATGAGAGTTAAAACAACAAAATACTATGACCATAAATTTCATAATTAAATCTGAAGTTTGGCAAAGATAATATTTTGTTTCTTTTCTGTGTTCCGGGGTAACTAAGCATGAGACTAAAGGACTTCTAGCACTACAATGGTGACAAATTACTTACATACCCATCTTGTTGTGCCTTAAAATTGACCAGCAACATGGCTAACAAACTACCTGCTACTGAGAAAATAAGTCCAGCTTCTAATAATTGAAGCAGTGGTAAGGGTTGAATTGGCTCATCCCCTCCAATTTTAAAATAAGAGGGAGAACTCCAAGTAATTCCTTCATTTATTGTTTCAGTATTATAGCTCACAGCTTTCCTCTCAGTAGTTTAAAAGACTGTGTGAGTTTGTTAATAAAACAGATCAGCAGAGCTTGTGTATGTAAGGCAGCAGTGATGGTGTTCTAGTCTAAATCTGACTCATTAGGATCGGTGCATGGGTAAGTTTTCAGAAAGCTCAAGTCTTCTGGGTAGACGTAGCTAGAGTGAGCTTTAAGCCTGTCTTTAATGTGCAGTTCAGCTTGTGACCATGGCAGTTTGGCTCTTCTTGCAGGATCTATGCTTATCAGCAGCATTACAGTGAATACGAAATCCTCCTCATGGCTGCACTGGCCCTGGGTTTGTAGTGGATGACGTAACCCATTATTTCACTTCTGTTAAGTGCAAGAGAGAGTGGTTTTCAGTTAACAGGGCTGGCTTCTTATCTTCCTTGAAAGTTGTGGCAATGGCGTCAGATCACATTATGTGTAGCCATAAAGTGAGGGAAAGCTAATATGTAATATACTCAGCAAATTCTGTCTAGGATGGCAGTAAGGCCAGTCAATGACAGAAGACTGCCCCAAAGGAGCTGTAAGATTTTGCCCAGGGAAATGCACAAGTACATACAGACAAATTTCAGAGCTAAAATACAGAAAGTAAAAAATTACAGCTAGGTAATCTCAAGGCACTGCAACTGGCATTATACACATTCATTTTAAATTGTGCAGCATGACTGAGAATAGAAAAATGGCCGTACTAGAGCATATCAAAAGTTCCACAGGAAAGGGTAAGCATACACTGATATTTCTCTGCCTTTAGCTCAGGGGACTTCACATGCTGGCTTTGGCTTTTGTCGTGGTTTAAAACCAGGCAGAGGGCTCGTTCACTCACTCCCCCCCTTCTTTCCCTCCACCTACTTCTGGAGGGACAGAGAGGAGAATCAAAAGAATGCAACTCCCATGGGTTGAGATAAGAACAGTTTAGTAACTAAGGTATAACACAAATCACTACTGCTACCACTAATAATAACAATGATAAAGGAAATAACAAGCGAAGAGAATACATCACCTCACCACCAGCCAACCGATAACTTGCCCCCCCAGCCCAACCAAGCACTGACCCATATCTCCTCCAACCCTGCAGGCTCCCAGCCCTTCCGGCTAACTCCCAGTTACATCCTGGGCATGACGTGCTGTGGTATGGAATACCTCTTTGGTCAGTTTGGGTCAGGTGTCCTGTCTCTGCTTCCTCCCGGCTTCCCCTCCTCCCTGGCAGAGCATTAGGCTCACAAAGTCCTTGGCTAAACCAAAACATGCTTGTTATCAGCTCTGTTCCCGAGCTGAAAGTCAAAACACTGCACTGCACCAGCTACCAAGAAGGAGAAAAATGACTGCTACTGCTGAACCCAGGACAGCTTTGTACCTTCAGCAGTGGTCATTCCCTGTCTGATGGATTCTTATTTCACAAGTTTTCCCATTTTCCCTTGAAACCATATAAAGCTGTAAAGCTCTTTTATCCACAACACAGTCATCAGGGGGATCTGTGGGTCTTGACATGAGGAATTACTCCTTGTGTTTTATTTTTTGACCTGGGTTCTCCAACCTTTTTTGCACTCAAAGTGCAAACCAAAGGTTTATTTAGTGGCATAGTAATGTTCACTTAATATCTGATCTGCATTTTTGAGAACTGCCAGGCATTAAACTGCCATTTTCACAGAACTGCTTATCATAAGGTCTTACTCCTGAATGTCATGCCACATTAACCTCAGACTGGGGGGTTTTCTTGAGTCAGGATTGTTTCCTCCTAAGTGTATCACTTTATGTTTATCTGTGTTAATCCACTCATTCTTTTAAGGTCCTTCTGCAGCTGTAGTGCCCAAGGTGGAGGCTGCAAAATTTAATCTTAAAACCATTTTTAATTTGTGTTTGTCCTCTAACATAAAGCTAACAAAAATAAAATTTGTTCTTAATTTTTATAAAATATATGGGCTTATGCCTTTAAACTTCCAACACAGCTTTGTAAATCTCCCGAATATTGTTTTAATGCATGTGTGTAATGTTCTTGCATTAGTATAAAGCCTATATTAAACCATCAGTATAAATCAAGCATATGCTAAGTTTGTGGCTTTACTCCAGACTTCTTAGGTGGGTTTTGACCTTGAAACCCTGGGTGTTTTGACCTAAACAATAGAGGAATCTAATTTATTTGAAGCAGCCATTTCTCCTTGGGCAGGCATGTTTCTTTGAATATACAGTGCCTGGGGCCAGACACTGGCAATATGTATTGTAACATAAAAATGTTGCCACAAGTGACAGTAGTTTAAAAACATCAGCTTCCTTTTTAATAGTCCAAGCATTGTTTCTAGAACATCTGCTTGGCACACTTAACATCTTTATACCCTTCCCTAGAAACCTCTACAAATCCTGAGCATAAAATTGTGACATGCTTGTTCTTTGCTTACTCTGTGTTTAAATCCTCAAATTACCTGCCTTTAGTTCTCTAAATATGGGTGAAAGACTACCCTCATTTGCATTCCCCAAATGGTTTTTGTTTTTGGAAACCCTTTGGACATGTATCAGGGTAAAAGTCCTGAAACAAATGAGGTGCATATATTTGCAGGCAAATCATACAGAGGCTTGGAAAGAGTTTCAGAATTAGCTCACTACTTTCCAGGCTGCTGCATATTCACTTTCAGAGTATCTTTGCCCAGAAACTAGTAAATACACTAAACCTGACACCACAGTACAGCACAGTCCACTGTCCGCTTCTGCTGGGAGAATAGACTAAATGTTATTCTGAATCTGAGCAGCCTTAATTTAAATGCGAATAATGGAGAGAAAACTATGAGCAGTCTGTGCATGGCTGTCTTTTGCACATAGAACATTTTTTCATGAGCTTTTAAACTAGAAGTGCTGAAAGGTAAGAACCCACTGGATAGCTTTGAGTCTTAGTGAAATAGCAAACAGGTGAAAAATACTGCAAAAATTATCCTCCTTCAAACCCTAATCCCCCCTCCCCCCCCCCTTCCTTAATATTCCGAACAATACTATTCCTGCCTAGAGTGGATTGCTACTTTCATTCTAGAAATGGGAGAAAATGATGTTCATCATGAAGTAAGTTTTCTGGTGCTGCTCCTACTCTTCCGTTACATTAGATGTGTATGTAGGGCAAGACTAGCAGAATCTTAAAACGAAAAAGACGAAAAATCCTTTTGGGCCTATGTAGCCTTTCTCAGAGCAAAGGTGGTAAAGCAGAACTTCTCTTGTTCTGCAGTGCTTCCTATCCAACTGATGTAGGGTGGTAATGCGAGATTCATGTAGGAATATTTTTCTTGTTGGGGCACAGTAACCCCAAAGTGGAAGTACAGAAATAAGTTTTGTGGCCCCAGGATGGGGTTGTAAAAGTACATGTCCAACATAATTAGGTACCTATTTGGGTGCTTAAAGTTAAGTAATGTATGTACATATGTAAGTAATTAAGTTATATTGGAAAGTATTTTATTTGCCATGGTTTGTGCTCTACTCCTTACAAATCAAATTATAGGTAGATTTGATTCTGTAACCATTTGAAAATGCTTGCTTTCTGGATAATTTCCTTTTTTGGTTTGGGCTCGGTGTTGTTTTTGTTGTTGGTTTTTTTTTTTTTGTTTTTTTTTGTTTAACAAAGCTTAAAAAATTACCCATGAAAAATCCAAGCCAGTGTGGAAAACACAAAACGCATTTGCAAAAGGGAGACTTGAAAATAAGTAAGTTATGTCTAGCCAGCTTTGTTATAGTTAAACACCTTGAGGTCTGAAATCACCAGAAACTGTTTCTGTCTGCTTATAAAAGCTAGTGAACAATGCAGCTCTTTGGATTTCAGTCACCAGCTAACTGTTTTGGAACAGCTTTGTGTAGTAGATTTTCATGCCTTAATCTCTTGTCAGTAGAAAATACAGTAATGGGGAAAACTTTATCAACTTAACTTGCTAGTGAAACCAGCCATTTAATAACAGGGAGAATTTAAGGAATCACATTTAGTACAGAACTGTGTTTTGACTAAGTCTGATGGCCAAAAAGAGGATGAGCTTCTACTTAACAGTTCGGGCATGGGCAGAAAACAGTCTCTGGGGGCATTTGCTGCTTTCAGGTTGTTAACAAAACTATTAACAGAAACTTCTGTTTAAATTGGTTACATGTGAGAAAATTTTGGAAAAAAGGCAGTGGTAGTGCACTGGAAAACAACCCACCAGACCTGGAAGTGAGGTTGGTTTCAGTTTATTCACAGTGAAGGTCCCCAGAATAGCCCACCAGCTAGCGAAATTAATGAATACCTAATTTTAGGCTAAAGCCTGTCCATTAGTAAAGCAGAATGTGCCAGATTTCTGCAGGATTAGCAACAGGAAAATGCCAGCACTAGAAGGGCAAAGGAAAGGCAGACAGCAGGCTACTGGAACAGTGTAACAGAAGAGGTTAAGAGAAAAATTTCCATTTTGTCATTAAGGTAATTTCTTGGCCATAAGCCTTTTATTCTAAATATTTTAAAATACTTTTTTCAGTGCTTATTTTTAATTAGTACCAATTCCTGCTCTTGCATCAACACTGCTTTGAATTTAGAATGTTGCTGAGTAACCTTTAACTATATACGCTGTGGAGAAGGGAATAGCCTCAGTGTCTCAGTAGCCGGGGCTAGAAGCAGGGGGTTCAAATTAACATAACCTGTCAGCTGTTAAAGCGGAGCTTATCTATTATTGTCCTCTTATAATGCTGCCATTTACTGGTAAGTACTCATGTTTGACGAGGTAACAGTTGTACTGGCTTGGATTACTGTAACATTATTTAGTACATTTGGGTGGGTGTATGCTCTTGTGGATGAGCAAGCGCAGAGTCAGTCAGGCTCATCATGGACTTGATCTGAGACTGTCTTCAGAATTCACTTCTATGCTTACTGTCTGTTATGTGTGATCAACCTATAAACTGTTGCCAATAAAGATTATAAGGAGAATGCAGGTGAAGTTGTGCTCTGAATCCCTAGCATTCTGCTGAAAATTCTAAGTATTTTTTTTTCAAGCTGAGAGAAGTCTGTTTGCAGGAGTGGAGTGATTTTAGGTGGTAATAGCTTCATGTTAAAGAAATCCTTAGTTTTATTGAGTTGCTGAATAAAATATATGAGTAGCTGTAGTGACTGATATATATCAAGCAATATTTAAGTTAATTTCTCTAGATACAGTTCTTCTGCTAGTAATTTGAACAGCTACATGCAGTACAGCAAAAAATTTTAAATAATTTTTTCTTTTTTTTTCAGATTTAAATTAGAAGTTTCTGATAATTTTTTTTTTTTTTTTGTTTGTTTTGCTATATGTCTACTGCATACTTCAGAATAGATAGTATTATAAAAACTGAACACAGTCGTAGACTTGTAGACTCATAGAATAGTTAGGGTTGGAAAGGACCTTAAGATCATCAAGTTCCAACCCCCCTGCCATGGGCAGGAACACCTCACACTAAACCATGTCACCCAGGGCTCTGTCCAACCTGGCCTTGAACACTGCCAGGGATGGAACATTCACAACTTCCCTGAGCAACCCATTCCAGTGCCTTACCACCCTCACAGTAAAGAACTTCTTCCTTATATCCAACCTAAACTTCCTCTGTTTAAGTTTTAACCTGTTACCCCTTGTCCTATCACTAGAGTCTGTAATGAAGAGTCCCTCTCCAGCGTCCTTATAGGCCCCCTTCAGATGTTGGAAGGCTGCTATGAGGTCTCCACGCAGCCTTCTCTTCTCCAGGCTGAACAGCCCTAACTTTCTCAGCCTGTCTTCATATGGGAGGTGCTCCAGTCCCCTGATCATCCTCGTGGCTTTTCTCTGGACTTGTTCCAACAGTTCCATGTCCTTTTTATATTGAGGACACCAGAACTGTACACAATACTCCACGTGAGGTCTCATGAGAGCAGAGTAGAGGGGCATAAATAAATAAAATAAATAAATAAAGAATGATGAGGTTTCATATGTGTATACTTCTAAAATTTTCTATTTTAATTAATCTATTATAAATATTTCAATTATAAATGTTATATATTCTATTATATTTTTATCGAATTGTTGAAACACTAACTTGATATGAAAAGCAGTAGCAGACTTCTCTGGTTGGGGTATGGATACTAGCAAGTTGTTCCTCTTGAAGATGATGAAAGGATTTTTGGAGTGCTTTAATCCTAACCAGATCACAGGAGGGATCTGGACACTTTTCTCAAAACTCCATTTCAATGAAAATCTTGTTTCTTTATTTTTAGGAATAGAGGAGTTTCAAACAGAAAATTACATTGGTTTTAATACACTGTGTCATAAGGGGAAGTTCTTAGTGTGTCTCGTGGGATACAGTGTGTATTTGTGCAATGTATTTATCCCATCTGTCATAAATTGCTGATTGCTTTTATTGTTCTCTCACTTCCCTCTGTCATCTAGCCGTCCTCAGAAGGTGTGTTTATGCCCATTCCTGCCAATACATCCGCTGAAGATCTCTGCCTGCTTGTATATAATTCAGCATCCAGCAGAGGTGAGTAAGGCTGTGGTAATTGTTGGAGTTCAGCTAGAATCTCAATGGAGCAGAAGGTAGGCAAGAGGAAGCAGCTGTGCTGTTAGCAACATGTAGTGAATTTTCTTTTTAAACTAATGACTGAAATGCCAGCTCACCTATTGTATCTTTTATTCAGTTCATCTGAATTATTCTACCTTCTGAAATCATAACTTATTTCTGCAACTTCATGCATGCAAGACATCTTTTCTTAGCTGAATTGTCCTGCTAGGATCTGAAGTCTGCCTGCCTTGGTACAAGTTGCAAGAATTAATCTTGATATGGTGTCTTATTCAGGTCCTTAGAGTTGATCCATGGAATGTGTTTTGATTATAGCAGTGGTTTTTTATTGATATTATTAGTTGTCATAGTTTAAGCCCAGTCAGCCATGCAGCCGCTCGCTCACTCCCCCCACTTCCTCCCCCATGCTCCTGGAGAGATGGGGAGGAGAATCGAAAGAATGTAACTCCCACAGGTTGAGATAAGAACAGTCCAGTCACTAAGGTATACCACAAACCACTACTGCTACCACCAATAATAATAGTGATAAAGGAGATAACAAGGGGAGAGAATACAGACACTCACCACTCGCTGACCAATACCCAGCCTGACCCGAGCAGTGATCTCACCCTTCTGGGTAACTGCCCCCAGTTTATATACTGGGCATGACGTGCTGTGGTATGGAATACCTCTTTGGCTAGTTTGGGTCAGGTGTCCCGTCTCTACTTCCTCCGTGGCAGAGCATGAGACTCAGAAAGTCCTTGGTCAGAGTAAACATTACTGAGCAACAACTAAAACCACTGGTGGTATCAGTGTTGTTCTCAGGCTGAGTCTCAAAACCGTAGCACTGCACCAGCTACTAAGAAGGAGAAAAAATGACTGCTACTGCTGAACCCAGGACACTGGTTTGTTAAAAATATAAATTAAGCACTTCATCTTACTGATGGCCGTAGCTGTTTAGCCATTGAAAAATTATAGTTAAGCTTCAAAACTGTATGTTTTGGTTTCCCTAATACAAGAATTTATGTTCATGTTTTCTCGTTTGTTAATAATGGAGTATGGTAGTGGGTGAAAAGGGTTTTAGAAGTTGGACTGCATTTACACAGATCTGGATAGATGGCGGGTCTACAAATTAGACTGTGAAGTTCAGAAACCTTTATTCTGATCCAGCTGTTTACTTACAGTAGCTCAGTCAGCATGCAGAAGGTCTTTGCCTGAAGGAACTTAAAAAAAATGTAAAAGGGCAAGTTGGAGAAAAATGTTCTTTTGCAGAGAAATAGAACAGAAGCCATGATGTATGTGGTCCCTGAATGGGAAAGCTGTGATTTTTAGTTGGCTATTTCTAATAAGAATACTGTTTTGTGTTACTTTGTAATTCAGAGGTACTTAAATATATGCCTAAATCACTTGCTAGAAAAAAGGTTTAAGAGTGTGCCAGGGAACTGGTATTTAAACTGGCATTTGAGTTGTGTTGAATTTCTTGTTTATGGTGGAAGATATTAGAAAACGTTTTCAGATTTTTTTTTTAGGTTTCATGCACCATTCCTGTGTTCTTCTGAAAGGATATCTACACTTTTTATTAATCAGCAATCACAAAACCTTTCTGTTATAATGGAATGCCACTTTTCCACAAGTGTTTGTCTTAGGTGATCATAGATGATGTTTTTGACTCCAGAACAGCTGAGGCATACATGGCAAAAGATAGATTCCCTTTGCTGTAGCTGCTCATACTCAAAATACAATCAGTCTTGAAGGCAGATAAGCCTTCTAGACTGTATCTCATCCTTCAGTCTGCCATTTCATTACAGATAGACTCTTAAGAATCCATTTCAAAAGTATCTCATTAAACTAATCAGACAGGAAATGTCTTTCCTCTACCGCATATCAGTGCTGCCTGTCGTTCTCCATGTGTTTTGTTATTTACTGTCTTTGGAAGTCCACAGTGCAGTGAAGTAAGCCACCAGCTATGGTCAAATGGTGCTACCGAGACCTGTATTCAGCTGAGATATAGGAAATCACGAGCAATATTCTCTGTGCTATGATTAATGTGACAGTCTCTCCACATTCTTACTGTCCAGAGGCCATGCTGCCAGATAGACCTGTGCAGGTATCAGATACTGGGAAAGAGAGAGCAATCCCTCATTGCAGAGCAGTGGATGCCAGGTGAGGAATCCTGCCATCTAGCTTCCATTTTACATCCCAAACCCAATATCAGGAATAATGGAAGAGTGAAGAAGTTATTTGCTTAGCCTAATCTCTTTTTCTTCTTTGCATATAGTTATATATATAAAATGACAAGATTATTTTACTTTTCTCCTTCTCGTATGTACTGTTATGAACCTCATGTCAGGTCAGTGGTATAACTAGGTGTACAAACCCTTTACACGTTTGTCTTAGCTTTGCCTTTTATTGTCCCTGTAGTTATTGTCAGCAGAGTGTATGCTATTATGTGCTTTTCAAAACCTGAGTGATAGCTATAACTGAGGACTGAACCCTTAAAGCATAGCAGAGAGTATCTTTTTAGGTTGTTCTGCTTCCCTGCCTTCTTTCTATAAATGTAAGAACTGTCTGTGTTAAGCATCTGTGAAGAATACTTAGATTGTGTGTATTTAGTGAATTTATATATTGATCTAATGCAAGTAATTAGCTTTGAATTGCTCATTATAGTATACTTTATTGAACAGTAAGAATCAAATGTAAGGGGAAAAGTTTTGCTAATTGTCTTGACAATTCATAAATAAAAATGGAAGGAGTATATTTGCTGAATTTAATAAATATTGATATTAGTTAGAACTGCCTGGTTCGTTGCAGGTGGATAATGCTATGGTAACAACACGTACCACTAATTCTCAGAAAAGAAAAAAATAAAAAAGGCAAAAGTTGTATTGTGTCTGGCTGGGATGGAGTTAACTTTCCTCACAGCTGAACTCATCGTGCTGTGCTTTGTATTTGTGTCTGGAACACTGGAACACACCAGTATTTTGGCTATTGCCGAGTGGTGCTGTCAGAGCTTTCCCCCCAAACCCCTTCTCCAAAGTCCAGTGGGCTGAGAGTGGGCAAGAGACTAGGAAGGGACATAGCCAGAACAGCCAACCCAAGCTGTCCAAAGGGGTATTCTGTACCATATGATGCAATAAAAGCTGTGGGGAAGAAGGAGGAAGGGAGGGCAGCATTAATTATTATGGCATATGTTTTCTGGAGCAACTGCTGTGCGTGTTGAGTCCTTACTTCCCAGGAAGTGGCTGGACATTGCCTGCTGATGGAAAGTGGAGAATAAGGTCTCTTTGTTTTCTTTTGCATCACATATGGCCTTTGCTTTTCTTTATTAAACTGCCTTTATCTTGACCCGTGAGTTCATTTGCATGTTATTCCCTCCTCCTTTGCCATTGTGCTTAGGAGGGGCAGTGATAATATGGCTTGGTGGGCACCAGGAGGCCAACCAAGGTCAGCCCACAACATAGGTCCTCCAGTGATATTTTTATTTATGTACTTCAATGGCCAAATAATGAACAAACAAAGAATTGCCAATCACTGTTAGAACACTCAGAATAACAAAGGAGAGAGAAAGTGCTCCGGTAAATGGAAATAGCTGATATGGTAACAAACAGGTTATATATAGTCTAGTTAAATGCAAATGGCTTTAAATGAAGAAAATTATGAAGACATGAAACCTTTTTTTAATGTTAGTTTAACTTAGCTGTTCTTAAGCTTCTGTTCTCAAGCAGTTCCTTTTAGCTTCGAATTTTATGTTTATCTTCTTGTAAACACTGCTTGTTTTTTTAAGCTGGGAAATTCAGCTTTCCCTATTGGAAGAGAATGTATTTATTTGATATGAAAGGTAATTCTGAAGTAATGATATGACGTTGGAGGGAACAGTTGAATGACTTTCCTTGACTGATGATAGCTCTTTTGGTTTTGCTTACCAGAGACAAATAATTGATTTTCTTCCAGTTCCTTTATTGCAACTTTGCATGAAGAAGGGAGCCTTCTGACTAGTCAATTGAAGACTTATTTAAATAGGATGATAAAGACAAATAATACTCAACCACTCTTGGTGGCTTATTGCACTTTGCTGTGATAGAAGAAATCAATGGTAGTTTGAGGGATATTTTTCCCTCCTCTTGCTAACACTTGACTCCCCAGGTACTTTGATCTTCTGTCCCTAGGAGACATCATGATGCATCTGCTGTGCAAAGTGGTGGTGAATGTAGCAGGACAGCTTATTCCTTCAACTCCATGATGTTTCATTTATAGAGGAGCAGTACTTATATCAATATGTTTGTGGATCAGAAAAAGCAATATTAATAAAGGCTTCAGGCAACAGTGATAAAAGTCTTTGCAGAACTAATTTAACAGCAGTTTGTTAGCAAGACAATGTGAGAACCCCAGGCTGCTGCACATTGTACTTGTGGAAGGTAACAGCCACCCAGGGAGAACTGTGAGAGCTAATCAAGGCCTTCACAAATACTGAATTGTTTATATATATTGCTCATAAATCAAAAGATGGACCTCCTCTCCCCACCTCTCCCTGCCTTGCTTTTCGTTAATTAATCTTGTGGTTTAAGGACTGATCTTTGGATTTTCATTATCTGAATCATGAGACATTCAAGTTAAGAATATTGGAAGAGCTCGTTTCTAACTGAGCTTAGGGCTTTCATAATCCTCACCTGACCTCTAGTGTCTTTTCGCCTGCTAGATTCAGGTAATAACTTTCCTTTATTCCTCTTGTGATAAGTAAATAAACAGAAACTTTCATTCAGTTTTCTGTTTTGGCTTGATGTCTTCATTAAATGCAAGATAAAAGTATCATCACACTTCATTGATAAAAAAACAGAAACTGACATCCTAGATATTCAAGCTCAGTTTGCAGTATTTCTTGTCTGGACAAAAACTTGTATGTTCCCAGCTGTCTTAAATGAAGGACAGAAACAAATTTCTGTTTGATAAGTAGGGGGTTTTCTTCAGCTGGCAGTACTTCTGTCTTCCTTCACTTTCTGAAGCTCTGCTCCAACAGAGCTCTCTTTAATACTTTTTGAGATCTCAAGAACCCCTGCTCCTTACCCAGACCTGGTAGTCACCTTCCTCATCAGTGGCATAAAGGTGTTGGCAGGTGCCTGGTGAACAGAGCCTGTATAGCATAACGTATGTGGTAGTGTTGGTGCTGTTGTCCTGGTTACTGTGAAGTGACAGTGGAACAGATATGTTTATATTTCAAACTGCCTTTTCTGGTGCACTCAGAGCTTTTATTTTAACACCTGTTTGTGGAAATTAAGCTCCCTACTCATTTTCCAATAGAGACGTTAGATCCCCAACCTATTACATGAATAGGTTAATGTAATAATTAATGTTAATGCTCGTTTTTGCCTACTATTTATTATTCTGTGAAATTTCATTGTACTTTTTGATACTGATAGCCCAGTTGAAATTTATGCTGGTGATCATAGGCTAGTTAAGACCAAGTTCAATACTGTCAATCAAAACAATAGGATGTGAATGCATCAAAATTGGGTATTCTTTTTCTTGTAGATTTTTTTTTCTGTTAGCTGACAAGCTTTTTTCTGTGTCCACTGTCAAAAGAACTTGAAAGTAAATGGAAACATTAACAATTCGTAGAAGCGCTCCTTGAATTTATTCAAAAGTAACCTTTCTGTTTTACAGGAAAGTCGAGTGTTAAGGACGGTGCCTTTGCTAGCAGCTTGTCTCCCTCCAGACAAGTGTAAAATTGTGGTTGGTCGACGTTTCAGTGAAGACAGGTGAGTGAGATTGCTCATGCAGTTTCATGTGTTCTGTAAATTATGGAGATATTTTTCTAATTTTTTTTTTTTTAGTAAAAACACACAGTGTTCTAAATTTTTATGTTGAGTGTGCACATTCACTTGATACCAGCGTTTGGTTTCCAGCAAAGATAAATTACATATAATAGTCAGAAACACTTCATATGTCGTCCTCTAAGTCGTAGCTTTTACTGTCTCAATTTTGTGCTCTTGGGAAGTTTAGGTGGCTCCTATACCTCTCTTAGCTTTTTGCAGTTCTGTTCTAACCTGGTATTAGGTTTGTCTTGGTGTCCTCTTGGTTCCTTTTGTGTTAGCCTTGTCTGACAAACTATTTGGTATTACTGAAATATAAGTAATAGTTTTCCCTTGAGTGTGGGAGATTGTACTTGAGAAGGGAGTCCCGTGGTGAAAAACTGTTAGAGAATGTATAATTTAAAAATCTTTTCTCCTTAAAATTAATTATAAGAAAGAACAGCTTTCAGAATTTCTTTTATTATTCTGAGGCCTTGTATAATATTGGTCTCCCATATCGTATCTTTAGTCTTCATTAGAGGAAGCTAAGTCTTAGAAACCAGTTCTTGGTAGAAATGCTAATGACATTACTACACAGATTTTCAATGAAAGCAAATAAAAATCATGAATACCGATGAAATAAATTAATTCTAAAATTGAGTTTAATCTTTGGAGAACTTTTTGTAGAGCTCAGTGAATAAAAATGTCATAAGGTGATTCAGAATTTGTGCTCCCGCACCTTTGTGCTACCTGCAATAGTAGCTAGAGCACATTAGAAATATATTGGTTTTCTATTAGTATTCTATGCTAAAAGCTGTAGTAATTAAGAAGTTCCAGGCTACAGGGAAATTGTACTATCTTCCCATTAAACCTGAAAATGAAGCAACTTTTCATACTGATGTGCACAGGGTGGAACACTATCAGTGCAAGAAATAGTATACTATTCTGCTTCTAGTAAATTTCCTTAGATAATTTTTTTTTTTTTTTTTACAAGTGACGATTACAGTATTAAAGCTTCCTCAAGTTTGAATCCAGAGGCATTTCTCTAACCTAAAGGGAGTAATTTCTCTAACCTAAAGTATACTGTTTAGGTCAAAACCAGTTGTGGAATATCTCAGCCTCAAAATAGTTTAAATAGATTCATAATTACCTAGTTGCTGTGAGGCTTTTTTGCTGTAAAACATACTGGGGATGGTGAAAGAAATTGAAGGTTTCCTTCCTTAGGTTAATATGAATTTTGGTGATCTGACTCATCCAGATGCAGGGCCAAAAGTAATTAGGTGGTAGTCATACATTACGGGGTAACTGGGATGATTGAAAAGTTAAGCATTTAAGCCTCTGATGTTTATGACAGTGAGATTGAAAATAAGGATAATTATTTTTTCTAAACTTGTGTTTGGATGAAAGAGTGAATGTAAAGCACACTTTTTTATTTTACTTTTTTTTTTTGTTAGCATATCCTTTACCCAGTTCTACCTTCTCAGGTCACCATTTCTTGTGATCGAAATCTGATAGAGAAATTATGTAGATTACCTTACTCTTAATTGGCCTATATTGCAGAACAGCTAAAGAACCAACTTTTGTGAGTCTTTCCAGAAGCAGACAGCTAATCAAAGCTTTTTGAAGTTGGTATCTTCAACATATAACTGGCACAGTAATTGTAAAGATGAGAAGTGATTAATCCAGTTGTTTTGAAGTGCTAACTTTAGATTTTTCCCAGTCATGTCCATTCTTCCTGCCATCTGTCATTTTAAGTCTACTGAAAGTATGTAGTGTTTGCAAAGTGACTTAGCTCAACAGATGGCATTTCTGAATTAAAAGACCAGGTCTGGGGTTTGTTTTTTTGTTTACTTTTTAACTTTTTTTTGTATTGATTACATTATTTTCAGATATTAGGGTTAGTCTTTGATGTGCTAAAATGATTAAAAGTGAACAGCTTAGTTATGAGTACTTACTGAATATTGGTATTGTAAAAACAGCACTTTTGTGAGTTGTTAATATTTTCTGTTCAGTTCTTTTTACAGATATACAATGAACCCAGTATCACAGTAGTATGGCAGGCAGGGGTATGGGAGGGTGGGGTTATCATCACTGCCAGATTAGAGATTGAATTTTTATGTAAAAGTGTAGAGCACTTGTTTGTGTGTCTGACATACCTTACTCATATAGATGCTGAGCCTGTTAAATATAGGTACATTTTATACTTTGGCTAGGAGAACAGCATAAACAAGCAAAGGACTCAAATCACTTGTACTAAAATTTTTAAAACTTTTCTGTGAAACAAGTTTTCTTACTTGCACAAGGTCAGGATGATTCCATGGTAACTGGAGTTTTCGCTTCTGACTTCATGAAATGACCATGTGTCATGCAATGTACACTGAAAAATTTATAGTAAAGATTAGCCAGACCTATCTAAACAGTGGTAGGATCTGGTTAATTTCTAAATTGACAGTAGTTTCAGTTATTTCTATTAATTTATTTATAAAACTGTTGGTTTTGTGGTGTTGATGTTGCAAAACACAGGAATATTTAGAGTGATTACAACCTTGACAAAATATGTTCTACCAGTAAATTTGACTAGAGGTTTTTCTAGCGGCCTGTACTATAGTTTTTTGAACCTTCTAGAATAGAAAATGTGAAAGATTTAAAAGTTATTTGCTCTTGATATCTCAAAATATTTTTATCCTGTATTCATGAAACAGATGGATTTTGTAACTGGTTATAATAATTGTAATCTGTGTAACTTAATCACCTTCATTAGGAATGGTAGGAAAGTGTTTATATGCATTTTTTTACCATTGAATTAATTTTATTTTTTCCTCTCTCACTTAGAAACATTGCTTTTCTCATGGCTGCAGTTGCTGTTTGCTTCTTGTCTTTTTTTTTTTTCAATTCTGTTTTTTGTACTAGCATCTCATGCCATTCATATTGGTCCTTTTCTGCCTGTCAGCATTCAGATGTGCATAATTTTCTTTCCCTTTTCCACTGCCTTCCTTGGTACATTCACATGTTGGAAATTACAGATGGCTTCTGTCTTTTTTTCCATTCTTTAAGTCTTCAGCAGCACAAATCCAGATAATATTTCCTAATGTTTTGCCTCTTATACTATTACTTAATATGATTATTTTACAAATCCCTGACTGTTTTCATTGGCTACCACCTATCCAAGCCCTTTGTGTTTGACTTAAGACTTCTAGGTCTTCCTTAGTTGTTGGTATCTCAAATTCTCTAGGATTAGTTAGGATGACTTCTGCTTCATAGTTCTTGATCAAGACCTATTTTTATTAAATCAGTATCTCTGGGTCAGTGCTTCTGCTTATCAAAGGCATATATAATTCTTCAAATGTAGTGTTCTTTTAGATTTCTAAATATTCTCGCCTCCTTATGAGTAATTTCTAGCACCTTTGTACTTTCTGCTCTTAGTCAGTCATCAGATGGCTTCCAGTTTGACAGTGTTCACTGCCAATATTATTAGTCCCAAAAGCCACTTCCTGATGTCCACTGGTGTATCAGAACTTACTTTCTGCAATCACCTTGTTCTCTTCTTCTTCAGTTCTGCTATCTTTGCAGCTAAAAAATACATTTTCATTTAAGTCAACCCAGCGTATTTTACAGCCTTCACTGCCACCCATCATGATTTAATTCCTTGAAAAATGCAGATATTCCTCCAACTATTTTGCTGTCTTTCCTCAATATTGATGATTTTTCTAGGATAATAGTGACAGAACATAGTAATGTGGGTTTTGTTCTTGTTTTGTTGACTTTCCTTCATTCCACTCTGCACTGGCAAAAAAATTATGTTTCTCTCCTCCATTTCTTTCTTCTATGTTACATATTTCTTCTATTGACACTTTATCTTCTGATTTCTCTTGGCCTAGTTGCCTCTCCTCTATTAGCTGTCTTTCAAAACCTTATTTTAATGGTGGGATATCTTCTACATTTTTATATTCTCTTACTGTTCTGTTTCTGTCCCTCTATCATGATTGTGACTTGGAAATGATGTTCTTTTCTGGTTCAGTTTTATGTATTGTGATTGTGATATTATGTATTATGATTTTTTGATTTTGCTGATTATCTACAGATGTGGTGATATCTTGGCCAAATGATGAAAACTTGAACTGCTCTTTTGGAGTAGGAGAGGTCCTAATTCTCTAACATGTTCTGGTAACTGTTAAGCTTGAGCTTACAATTCTTGACATGACTCTCATCTGTTTCAAATGCTATAGCATTCTTTTCTTTGGACTTGGTAAACATAAGAGTCTTTTCCCATGAAGGTCCATCCAAAATCCTGCTGAACAATTGTTTTGTCAGCTTATTTGAACTGCTTTGACCTGGTTGTTTTACAAGTCAGTATGCTATCTCTTGTCAGACTGAAAAGAAATACACTGTTTTCAGAGCTTTTCTTTGCCTGGTGCCCCATCATACCACTCACTCTTGAAATGTGTACTTTTACCTCCTGTTACTCAAAGATGCCTGTTTGGTTTTGACTGTTAGTTGACTTTTTCGTGTGGATCTGTTGAGGCCTGATTGGTTGTCCTGGAAACACTTGTAGCTAGTCTTTGCTTTACCTCATTTTGCCATAGATTTTAATATGCGCATGCAGAATCATAAGTCAGTCTTCAACTATACTGAAAATACGTGAGGTTTGTGTTCAGCATTATATTTATTATAAGTTTCTTAGTCTTTTACTTAATCTGTTTTAGATTTAGTTTATTAATTACTTTGATAGAGACTAGGTATTTTTGGGCTTACAACTCCTCAGTGAACTGATGATGTCTGGTCTCAAAAAGTGAGGGCTTCAGTGCTTGAATAATACAAATTAATTCATTAGAATTTCTACCTCCAATTTGCATATGCAGTTGTAATATTACATATGCTAGTGTAGCAGGTACTATTTTTAGTATATCACGTTTGTGCCTTTCTAAGCACATTAGTGTGTGATTACATGTGCAGGAACATACATAGCT